ATCTGATTTGTTACTACATATAATTGTGTCGAATTGTTTGAAAAAGTAATTATAAATTATAAATTATAGTAAATATCTGATTTGTTACTACAGATAATGATCTAATGTGATTTGTTACTACAGATAATTATCTGTTCTGATTTCACGCGTGATCTAAATTCTTTAAAAGCAATTCAACGATGCAATTTAAATTACAGATCTCCCAACACTGAATCAACCAACCTTGGACCTCCTGCGAAAAAAGAAAAAACAATCAAACAATGAATTCAGGATTTGGCTTAATCAAAGAAGTCAATAGGTCTACTAGACCTATGCTTAAAGTTCGTATTGTACGAATGTTCTTCCAAGACTGGGGCAGTACATACAAATCCTATCTTGAATTGGTTCTTCATGATAAAAGTGTAAGCCGAATTATTTGTACTTATTTGATTATCAAATTATCAAATATATTTCCGTATATATATAATATAATTCCGATTTTATATATATATATATATATATATATATTTAAACAATTTTTTTTTTTATTGATATATCGTTTTCCCATGTGTTTAGGGAAATCGCATTACAGCAATGCTACGGGCAATCAACTTGACTGCGTTTAAGGAGAGAAATTTTGAAGAGGGCATGGTAATTTGTATAAAAAATTATCAAGTGGACAGCAACATAGGGAAGTATCGCTCGACATCTGGTGATTTTAAGATCATGCTGCACGGGAGCACTATGTTTTCAAAGTGCAAGGACGAATTTCCTTTTTTTCGATTTCAATTCAAAGACTTTGCAACTTTGCAAGATGTCAATCAAATTGATGAATCGATGTTATTCGGTAATATTCTTTTATGATGTTTCGAATTTTGTTTCTTAATTTTAAATTAATTAAATTAAAACATTTTTTTTAATTGTAGATGTTATAGGATTAGTCATTGACATTCAAAGTGTGCAAGAGAAACAAATAAAAACTGGCGATACTCAATTGGCTGCCTTCATTCTGATGGATCTAAAGTGAGTTATTTCGGTTTTTTATGTATATATTTTGCTATCGTTAACTTTTTTTATATATTTTTTTCATATATATTTTTGGCTATCATGAATGCTTTTTCATAATCTCTCTCTTTTTTTTATATTTAATACAGTGAAAATTTTATAAATTGCACGGTTTGGGGTGAGTATGTCGATCAACTTTTGGCTTTCGAGAGCCATTACGAAGAAAGTGGACAACCATGGGTGCTAATAATGCAATTTGTACGTTCTAGAGAGTACCTACGTAAGTATTATTTCAATTTCAATTTAAATTATTCCAATTGTTTTAAATTTTAATATTAATTTCAAATCGTATAATTGAATAATTTATTTAATTAAAAAATTAGCCCAATCATATTTTTATCATTTCGAGTTATGTTTCAATGTGTGTTCTATAAAGTACATGTTGTTTAGGTATTATGTTAATCTAATTAGTTTAATTGATCATCGAATTATTTATTTAAAAATTTAGCCGCATCATATTTTTATTTTTATCTTTCTAATGTGCTGTTTAGGTTTTATGATAATGATAATTTAATTAGTTTAATAATTTAATTTAAATAATCAAAACATATAATTTAATTGTTCAAAACATATATATTAGACTTGATCCCTCCGATGATCCAATTGCTACAATTGTTGAAAGTACCTATCCAATGTTTAAGAATTCAACAGAAGATCCAAGTTATTTGAAGGATAGGGCTATTTTAGCGCCAACGTTAGAGGTCGTTGAGTCTATCAATCAGTACATGTCGGAGATGAATTCTGCAGAAGGTCGCACGTATTTGAGTTCTGACAGTGCATCTAAGTCTGATTCAGGCAACGACTTCTTGGCAGATCTCCACACGCCTGAGTTCTTGAATAGCATCAAGTGTTCGGGAACACCGAACCATGAGTTGCATTTAAAGATAGGAACTCCAGTCATGTTGTTGCGGAACATGGACCATTCTGTGGGACTCTGCAATGGGACACGGTTGGTTGTGATCAAACTATCCGCTCATGTGCTTGAATGCAAGATATTGACGGGTGATCATGCTGATGAAAAAGTGTTGATTCCTAGAATGAATATTACTCCTTCTGATCTTAGGGTTCCTTTCAAGTTCCAGCGGCGGCAATTCCCAATTATGGTTTCGTATGCCATGACCATAAACAAGAGTCAGAGACAGTCTTTATCGCATGTTGGTCTTTTTCTAAAGAAACCTGTCTTTAGTCATGGACAATTATATGTTGCTGTTTCGCATGTAACTACTAGAAGGGGGTTGAAAATATTAGTTTGTGAGAATGACGAGTTGCCCAGTAATCAAACTCACAATGTTGTATACAAGGAAGTCTTTAATAATATATGATTGTTTCTTTTTCGAATATTATCTTATTGTACAATTTTCCTGCGTATTATAAAATTTTTATTGAATATTGCATCTTATAATATAATATTCCCCAAATAAATATATCTCATGCCTCGCACGTGTCACGTACTATATATATACCGTACATTTTTCTGTTTTCATGTATATGATTATAACCCTGAATTAATAACCTTAAATATTGTGCACCCCGTGCATCGCACGGGCTCTGTACTAGTTTATTGAAAGTAGTTACCAAATAAAAAACTAATTCCACTTTTCACGCATTCATTCTCCACAACCGACCCACGTCTCAATCCCACTCGGTCAACTCAACTTCTTCTTTGTATCCCCATGTTTTTTTAGAATTGCTTTAAAAGTTGTATAAAAAAGGCAAAAAATCAATAGAGGAGAGAAGGAACGACGGCGGTTAACGTTCGTGGTGACAGCGGCCGCGACGGCGGAGAGGTGGATTTGGGGTTTCTGATTGAGTCATATGTTGAATTAGCCTTCTTTCACAGTTCTTGAGTGTTAATGTGGAACAATTGAATTTACAGCATACAATTGAATTTACTGCAATGTACAGGTTCTGATTGGGGTTTCTGATTCTCAATGTTTTATTTGATGTATATTTATAGTTTATTCGAGATATATTAGTTTATGTTGTTTTATTTTTTGAAATATACATTAATATTTTTTGTTTCATTTTTATTTACAACAAGAACTCATCATTTTTATTTACAGCGAGAACTCATCATATTTACAGCAACATACACTAAAAATATACTGAAATATAATTTTTTTCAGTACAATATACTGAAATATAATGGTTATAAACGCAATATACTCTGAAAATAATCAATGAACGGTAAATAAAAAAAAAAATCGAGAAGAATTAATTTTCCATGAAAGCATTGTTTTTAGCACGCGCAGGCAAAAAAGGAGGAAAGTTCTTTTTTTNCTCTCTACAATCGTGGCTATAAATTCAGGATTTGTATTAGGTATAAATTTAGAAAAAAAATAGCGCAGTTATCTTGTTCCTATTTACATTTCAAAGTGAGCATGACTTTTTTTTTTTTGCTAAACTTCTGGAAATCATGGGCAAAAAATAAGGAATGGAGGTTGCACCAATCTGTAACTGATTTCAGGCATGAATGTAATTCATTATTATTCATTAGGTATATACATAATTAATTTGTTATGAATGATAATTATATAATATCTTCCCAATCGTGTGGGAAGCATAAAAATTTCCCTATTATATTTGACATAAAGACTGAATCTTCTAAATTATTACCACATAAATTTATTTTGTGAAACTGAAACATTATTTTCTCATCCTCAAATATATGGAATGCAAACATTCTCTCTCCTACAGGTAAACAATACGACTTTCATAGCATGTAATATTGTATTATCACACGTGCAAAATAAAATATACATTTTAAGTTCATATTTATGTTTTTAATGAAATAAAATCCTTCATTTTAGATCATATGTATTTAATATGTCCAAATTTATCTACATATCAGCAATTTAAATTTTGAATTTGAAGATAACCCGAATCTATGATTGCAAAATATCGTTTAATAACTAAATCAACCGCAACTTTAGGATTTGGTATTTTGAAACCTAGAAAAAAATAAAATTATTAATTTAGGGGAGTTATGTGATAAATCTATCTAAATCTTGTATACATCACGTTTTACAATTAAAGAAATTTAAATATAGAGATTAAGATATTTTGAATCTCTGATTTAAACAAAGACCATAAAAAATTTGATTTGGTATTTTGAATTTTTTTTTAAGAAAATGATTAATTTAGAGGATGATATGTGATAAATCTATCTAAATCTTGTATACATCACGTTTTACAATTAAAACAATTTAAATATGGAGATTATTCTTATTTCAAATCTCGGATTTAAACAAAGACCATAAAAATTTTGATCGTTTCAAAAATTAGACCCGTGTATTATTTTTTTTTATAAATAATTGTCAAACAAAACAATTGAATAGCCGCAACTTTATTCTTTTAATTGAAACTGCCCGATTTGATGGTTTTTTTTTTTTTCCAAAACGATAGATAGATATTATAAATCAAAATGCACAAATGTGCGAATACACAACAGTCAACGACTGAATATACAGCAGTCAACAACTGAAAAAGTGGGAGGACAGGTCAGAAGACCGCCTAGAGACCCGACTAGCAACGCTAGAATAAAACTCGCAACTAAAACTAACCAACTAAAAACGACTAAAACAACTAACAATAACTAAAAGGACCCCAACGGAGTAATACCCGAGTATCGGATCCCATTGGGATAATAAGGTGATACTCGGGTTCATAGGGGCCAATCGGCCCAAACCAAAAACACCAACAACAGCAACACAGACACGAACACAAAGAGAGCAACTAAGACGGAAAGACCTAAAAAACAAACAAACAAGGCCCTTCCCCAACGGTAAAGCCGAACCAAGCACAATGCTCCAGCGAAATACGACCCATCCCATAGCTTGACCCAACCATCCGGAACGCTACTCCCGCCACTGCCTAATGCCTAGCAAGGACGAGTCCCAAACACCGGACCACTCCAAGGATGAAATCGACCCATAGCCAGAGGAGTATCGACCATCCCTCCACACTCCAGCTACCCGAGACCCGGCCAACACCACTGGCCTAGGTTCGGGCTTGCCGGCATCCTGAAACCGCAACACCAGCGGAACAGAGACCCAAGGGCAAGAATCAATCCACCTCAACCACCGGCCGCCGCGACTCAGACGAGCCGAGCGCCAGGGCCACACCCAACCCCCAGCCACGCACCACCTAGCAGCAGTCGAACCCACAACGGAGGAGAAAGACACCGAAACTGCCATCGACCACCAGCCTGAGCCTGAATCGACCAAAGGAAGTCGGCCATCCACCGTCGGGGCCGAGAATCGAACACACTCGGCAAAGGGGCCGTCGAACCCGCCGCCGTCGACAGAACAGGGACAGGGCACGGAGCCGTTGAACCCACCGTTCGCGACCAAGGACACCCGAAATCCACCTATAAGGCCGAGGATACCTGGATTGGAGCGTAATTGGGGTCGGGACGCGCAGCTATGGGCCATCCGCCGGCGAAGGGTGCGGCGACCCGCCGGGGAAGGCAACGCGGCGGAGGATCAGGCTGAAACGAGCGGAGGAGTTGGGGATAGGGTTTTTTAGAAAAAATGTTTTCAAGAGAAATAAACAAATGATTTTTTTATTTTTTTTTAATAATTTTACCCTTAAATTAGCCGTAATTTTTTTTTTAAATAAAATTTGATAATCAAAACATATGTATTAGCCGATTTTATAGAATTTTTTTTTTTTTCGATATTTTGAAAATACAAAAGCATATCTTTATGGTTAGAAAAAATAACACAATTTTTTTTTTACTATTAAATCAGTCGTAATTTTTTTATTAAAAAAAAATGCCAAGCAAAGCAATTGTATTAACCGAATATCTGGTTTTAAATTTGGAGAATATAATTGACCAATTTTTAATTGAATTAGCAGTCGTGTCGTACATTTTTGTTCAAATTTAAAAATAGCTTATTGTAACCAATAACCAAATTTAAATGATGCAACCCGTACATTATCAGTTTTTGATATGCACATCGTGTCAAACCATCGCAAATATTCAATAGACCAAATTTAAATAGCACCCCACTTTTTTGAAAATAAAAAAATAATAAATTCCTCATCTTAAAGACAACATTTAATGCTGTCCATCTTTTAGCAAAAAATATATTAAAAATATACTATAAGTGTGTGATTGGTTACAATAATGTTATGGGCTTGATTAATTCCCATGTCAATTATTACATCCATCCATCCAATTTATTAGCATGTTTGGTTAGATATTAATAAATTCCATACTTCTAATTTTTCATCTTTCTTCCTCAAATGCCATCTACACAAAACGCATCACTTTTGTGACTTCACATCTCCGCCACCATTGTAGATCGGATTCGGTAATCCGCGGCCACCAAAGTCGCGGCGAGCCCGCCATCTTAGCCTGTAGCGTCCACCGTCTCCATCGCCAAGTCTATGAAATCACAGATCGAATTTAGAAATCCACGGCCGTCAGCACTGCAGCGGGCCCACCGCTTGGAGGCTCGCCGAAGAACTTACTGCTCGAGGATGGCGCTCATCTTGACGGATTAAAAAAGAACCGGTTGGAGCAGTCAGAGCATACCTCAGTCGGGATTCGCAGAACAGGGCTTCATGAAAATTTGTTTCTATTGCTGAGAAATTCGAGACTTTTGTGTGCCGTGAGAATTGAAGGATGGAAATTGGGGAAAAAGAATAAGAAGAAAGGGGGAGGATTTTTGGAAAATTTTTGGAGATGAAGTTGGGATGTTGGTTTACGATTTGGAAAGGTGGAAAAAAAAAAGAATGATGAAATTGGGGATTTTACGAAGAAAATTTCGGGACATTTTAGGAAGTTAAAATTGTTGAGTGATTTTATGTTGTATCCCACCAATTTGGCCGGATGTGTTATAAACAAATTAAAGGATAATTTGCTCGGGCCATGCCATTTTTCAGGGCCATGCCATGTTCAACCAATCTATACTTATATAATAAGGTGTATCATTTACGAAATTTAGTAAGTTAAAAAGTCAATGCAATAAATGCATTACTATTTTGAGCAACATAATATAATATCATATCTATACTTATATAAAAGCAACATAATATAATATCATATCTATACTTATATAAAAGGAGATTCTATTTACTACATTTACTATCCAGAAAAGTCAACTGCATTAAATGTCATTGTTATTTTGGTATTATAATATTTTATTTCTTTAATTGATTTATTTATTTTTATTTTAAAAAGGTAAGTATAATAAAAAGATTTTAATAATAAAAAAATCAAATACCAAATAAAAATGTACACTTTGACTTATTTGATTATATTTGGTATTTGATTATACCAAATATATTCCTATTTAGTATATACATTAAAAACTTACTAAAGTATTTATTTGTTAAAGTTAAATATAGATTTGTTTATATTATCAAATCATAAAAAAATATTTAATCCATATTTTTTAAAAAAAAATCATATAATTTTATAACAATTCTACTACACTATTTAAAAATATTCCTTTTTTATTATATAATAAAATAATAATTAAATATTATATGGTGAACAACAATAAGTAAAACGGTTACTTTCTCTTATATCAAGGGATAAATTTATATGCTAAAATTTAATTTTTATTAGTATAAATGTTTTAGTGAGATAATATATTAATTATTTTACAAGGTAGCCCTAACATGCTCATATTTAATGTTTTAAAAGACGTAGAAAAAATAATAACTCTATTGTTTTTTAGACTTAAACGTTGAGTAAAAGAGGTAAATTCCTAATCTTTTAGACTTAAACGTTGATTAACACCATAGATTGAGAGTCTATATTTAGTAAAATTCTTAATTGTAATAAAAAAAATAATTTTTGCTATATTTTAGAATATCTTTAAATTCATTATAAAAGAAAAAGAAAAAAAAAACTACAATGAAAAAAGCAAGTCAGCTATATATCGATTTGTTGTACTCCTCAAATCACATTCACAATTTGGCTACAAGGAAAGGAAACTCATTGATTAAAATATTATTTTGTTAGTAGTCTTAATGTACAAGAGACTTTAAGACTCCACTTGAATTATTATAAAACTTTTATTGAACATTGTACAATTTTCTTGCGTATTATAAATTTTTATTGAATATTGCATCTTATAATATAATATTCTCCAAATAAATATATCCCGTGCTTCGCACGGGTCACGTACTATATATATCCCGTACATTTTTCTTTATTCATGTATATAATTATATGCCTGGATAAATAGCCTTAAAATTGTGCACCCGTGCATCGCACGGGCTCTGTACTAGTCAGCATAAAAAAGCTGTTAATGCTTAAGAAAGTGTGTGACATCCCTCCTCATCACTCCAACCAATCACACCCTAAATAGCATGTAATTAATGTTGATCAGTTTTGACCAACGATTGACTTACTATTTTTGATAAATGTTAATTCTTATTATATATATATATATATATATATATATATATATATAGATCTAAAGAAAATTAACACAATCTTGTAATTCATTTGTAGTATGAAAATATTCATTTGCAGTTTCAATCTTGTAAATTCGCCTGGGAATGTTTTGAGCTCAAAGAGATAATTTTTTACTTTCTTGATTGTTTCTCTTCAGGAATATAATAGAAGTGTGAAAACTTCATTATAAGGTTCATTATTTCGTATATTTCCCGTTTGTTACTTATTGTAAAAAATTGGATTTTTAGTTGAGATGCATGGCTTGTTCACTTTGGGTTAGGAAAAATTGTAGTCTTTGTTTAAGTTGCTAGACTAGGTTATTATGGTGCTTTAAATTTTGTGCATATCATGTAAAAGTTCCATTATTTAGGAGTGAATGCTCGAATTTAGGCCCTAAATAGTATTCGGTTACTTAGCTACTATTTCTTTAGTCCTATTTTCTCTCATTCTCAATCGTCTTGGTTACTCGATTTAGTTAATATTGCGTTCTTAAGTCATTGCTTTCAAGTCTCTTAGTTAATTTAGTTAAAATCTCAAACCAACCAACTTGATTAGAATGTTTAGGTTTAATTTCTCTTTTTAATTTGTGCCTTTGCGACTAATTAGGCAATTGAACTGCAAACAATCTTTCTCCGAGAAGATGACCTGGGATTGAATTTTCATCCATACTATGTAAAACAAACGTATGCACAACACTTTGCAACTAATTAAGCGATTGAACTCCAAATAGTCCTGAGATACAACTCCGACTTAGTTTATACTCCATACTCGGTAGACAAAAATATACATCAACAATATTAATTGCATATTATGATTTGTTAACTTCATACTTAATATTTGAAGCACTCGCCGACCTACTTCCTATTGACTCGTGCGGTGACGGAAAAGATTGAGCCCTAGGTCAATTTAAGTAACAACAACTACGACCATAATGAAGATGAAAATCTTACTTGCTTTGCTGACATACATTTTCAGAATCCATGCACTTTGTCTCACATAAATAAGTATTTTTTATCAACAAGTATGCAGTTTAAAATCCTAAATATTTTTATGCATACTTAGATAACTAATTTATTATACATAAAATCCGAGAGTGTCCGTCTATTTTATAGACGTTTTTATTTCAATATTTATACGTAACTCAAATTAAAATTCTAATTAAGATTTCTATAACTTTTTTTTGTCAATTTGAAAAGTTTGGTTAATTTTACGAATTTTGATTTTTTGTTTTGTTATAAACATACGATTAAACCTTTTCTTAATCAAGGAGGCATAGCTTTTTTTTTTGTTAATTATTATTATTAAAGAATTTCGTTTTTTAGTAACAGTAACCGGAATTAGGGTTGATTCATTCAGCAGCCCACAAAATCATTCTCACATCCATTATCTCCTGTGGAAAAGCCAAAGCAGGCAGCAGAAACAGAGGAGAGCCATGGACGATAGAATATCCGAATTACCAATACCTATACTTCACCACATACTCTGCTTTCTCTCCCAAAAAGAAGCTGTGAGAACTTCTCTACTCTCCAAACAGTGGCGCCACATAGGATCAACCCGCCCCAACCTCGATTTCTCCGAAGAAGGGTTCAACGACACACAAGAAAAGTCTGCCTCCGTCAACTGCTCCTCCATACTGCACCACATTCTCTATCTCCTCTGCAGACCATGGCGCCACAGAGGATCAACAATAACCAGCATTAGGGTTGATTCATTCAGCAGACCCGAAAATCGTTCTCACATCACATTATCTCCTAAGGAAAAGCAAAAGCAGGCTGCAGAAATTCTGTCCACAGCCATGGACGATACAATATCTCAAGTGCCAATACATATACTTCACCACATTCTCTGTTTCCTCTCCCAGAAAGAAGCCGTCAGAACTTGTGTACTCTCCAAACAATGGCGCCACATAGGATCAACCCGTCCCGACCTCGACTTTTCCGAAGAATGGTTCGACAACACACAAGAAAAGTTTGTCTCGGTCGTCAACCGAACCCTACAAGGATACTGTGATCAAAACCTCTCTATACACAAACTCCATCTCCACATATTGAGGCCCCAACCAGTCGTCTCCCTTCTTGACAAATTGACCCCGATGATACCCGCCCTCAACATAAAAGCGTTCAAACTCAACTTTCATTCATATATTCCTACATATTACAACCTGCCCTCGGCAGTGTTCTTAGCCGAGTCCCTCGAAGAACTACACCTGTGTCAATGCATGGTGAGCCCGGTCGAGAGCGTGCGGTTTAAAAGTTTGCGCACGCTCACCCTCGAACAGGTCCAAGTTGATGGTGGCACTTTCGACACGAAAGTGTTGGGCTGCCCTTTGCTCAGGTGCCTTGTCCTTAATAATTGTCGGGAGTTGAGAAACGTTAGGCTGAGCGAGACAGCATCGCCTGGGCTCAAGCACTTTGAATTGTGTAATTACATCAAGATGGAAGGGCGTAGCATTGAAATCAATGCCCAGAATCTCGAGACAGTGTCCATAAGTGGATCATGGATTTGGTCTCACCGCCAAAGCTCATTATTGTTCTCTCGTCTCACGACTTTGAGTCTCTATGAAGTGATCCTGTCGAGAGAGTCGTTCGACCTGTTATCGTTCGGCTGCCCGACTCTTGAGAGCTTGACCCTAAATTATTGCTCCGGTTTCGAGGAATTACATCTTGCAAGTGATTCGGTCAAGTACTTGCGCATCTCGACCCCAGAAATACCACTTAAAGGAGTTACGATTTGTGCCTCAAACATTCTCAGGTTTACGTTCAGGGCCCGTATTCCCCAGGTGCCGGACACATTCTCTTTCACGACCAGTACTTCCAAGAAGTGGGATTCAAATGTATTCCTCTCTTCGTATGAGGAAGATCCCGATTTCGACGTCAATTCGTGGTTCCTTGAGGTGAGACGATTACTCAAGGCACTAAGTGGGTCTCGGATTTCTCTGTATTTGCAGATGGACGGAGGCCCTCAGGACGTGCCCTGTAGTGCTGTTCTCGTTGACGAGCCGCCTGTGGTGTTGTGGAGCTTGAAATTTGATACTTGTAAATGTCGCACGGCATCTTGGTATTTGGAGTTTACGAATGGCTTGTTTCGTGTTTGTCGGCCGAGTCGCGTATGGGGTGGTAGCCTCGTGAGCGAGTCGGACAGGAAGTACAGGCTCTCGGAGTTTCAGTTAAACATGTTGCTTGCATACAAGAATGTCAGGACCGAGCCCTACTTTTGGCAGCACGATTTGGAGCAAGTTCACGTTCATGGGCAGCTCGTGCAGTGGACAGACCAGTCGGA